AAGTTCATTGTTCAGTCTGATAATTGTGTTGCCTGAGGTGCCGACTGAGGTCTTAACTGTTCCATAATATATTAATATAAACGTTTGAAGACACAAAGAGACTCTGTGAAAACCCTACCTGCAATGGCATAGAAATGTCCCATGGCCAGCTTGCCAGGATGCTCACCATTTAGCTGATCAGAATGGGTCTAGGAGTCAGGGTAATAATGTAAGATATCCCACTGCGCTCCAGACCGGTATCCCAATACTAAATCCTCTAGTGGGTGCTGTAGTGACTTGCGGATGGTGCCATGTAGACCAAATATAAAAAGAGAGAGTCACCAGCACACCGGGGTCCACTTTATCGCTCCATCTTAACTGACATTAGATAAAGATGGTATCACAGGAACATTTAGGAACCGCATGTGGTTCCTTCATCAGGCAAAAACAGTGTTAAAGTTGCCACCGGTGTTCTGGCGACTATCTCTTCTATACGTGTCAGGGTTGACTCACTGAGCTCATTGTTCCACTGCTGAGGACATTTAAGGTAATGGTTTATAGGTGTATATATCTTCCTATAGGCTACAACAGGAGTAGGCAACCTTGGCACTCCAGTTAAGGGGGAAATAAAAATCCCAAAATGCCTCTGCCTTTGAGAGTCATGCCTGTGGTTGTCAGTCTTGCACTGCCTCACTGGACTTCAATTGGACTCAATTGATCCCCAACTGGACTGTAGTGCCACAAAAGCTGGAGTGCCATTGTTGCCTGCCCCTGGCCTTGAACAAATCCCACTAGACAGCCAGGACCAGATAAACTCTACAATCCATGAAGCATTACAGGACACTTTCACCAGTGTAACAAAATGCCCCAAGCCCCCTCAAAACTGTAAACTTTGTTAACCGTCCCAAAGTCTATGGAATGCATCAGCGATTGGGGGAGGTAAATTAGGACCTGCAGGGGTGGGCATTACAGCTTACTGTATTGAGGGGGCTAGGGAGAGGGGCTGGGTAATTTTGTTACATTCCAGAAATCCTATATCTGAGGGCTGAGCAGCCTGGAGAGCTGAAACCAAGAGGTCTTAGAAAATCCAGGCCCTGCTGCTATGCCCGCACAGCAGCTGGAGAACTGTCTGGAAAAACCAGAAGACACAGTTTTGCAAATTGTACACACCTGCACTATTTTTACCTAGCAATTTTTTGAGTGTTTACATTAAAAAAAAGATAGTTCTGCTTAAAAGGCCCGTTCATACCAAGCCTGTGGTCTGGTCTAGCCCGGCCAGAAAAAATGTTGCAAGCACAATTTTTTTCTGAACGGACCGGAGGCATTGATGTGACTTGTGTTCCCGTGCGGCCGATTGCATTGCGGCTGGAGGGTGTGGCTACGGTGCCATTCAATTCAATGGACCACCACGCCCCCTCCTGCCCCACAACAAAGTGAGCCGGCCGCAATCCGATGCAGTGTGTTCCAGCCACAATCGGGCCGGAACGCACTGTGCCTGGTGTGAACGGGCCCTTAAAGTGAAATTCAAGCCCAAAGTTTTATTTTAATTTCTTTTGGACAGAGTGGGGAAGGGTCAGATTTTTTACTGAGGATTGTAGTCCGTCACAGGAGCGAGCTTGGAGCGGTGATGTCCTAGTTCAGGAGATTTTCCTCACTTCCTGTTGTGTCACTGTAATTGGAAGTTAAGGCTAAATTTCTAGCTGTATCCTTGCTGGACAGGTTTTCCTTGCTTTGTTCCTGGGACAAGTATCATAATGGTAATTCTTTTCCAGTAGATTTTGTTAGATCTCACTTGGCCCAAAATGGTTATACATTTGCTGGTGAATTTTAAAAGTAAAAGTCTGTTTTAGCTTCCGGTCAGAGCTTTATTGCTGCGCACAAAGCTGTCAGTCTAACATTACATATGTGCTTACAGAATAGGGGAGCAAGGTGATGGCCTGATCAGTGTGCTGCCGCTCCTTTATTGTTCAGTTACAGACAGGTTGGTGACCTGGCTCTGTTTCTTAACTGCAGCAAAGAAAAGTGAGGTCACAACCTACAGCAGCTGCCTGGCTTCGGTGCCTGCATGACTCAGCTAGCTGAACACACAGTTACAAATTATTTAGCAGGTAAAACAATTCATGTATATGTAATTCAAATGAGTGGCAGTTTGCCTGAAGTTCAGGTTTAAAGTGACACTAAACTCAGGAATTAAATCTTAAAAATGCATTCAAGAACCCTAGCTATAAACAAAAATGTATCTTATTTGTGTATCACTCGGCTGTAGATCCTCCAAATCATCTCTTAATTCATAATGACACTGTCCTTCCTTCTGGAGGGGGGCTACTTTTGTTCCCCATGGTCCCTGTGTGTGTTGTAAAGTAGTCACCGCTCCAAGCTCACTCCTGTGATGGACTACAATCTCATGTTTAGTTTATTGTAGTCCGTCACAGGAGCGAGCTTGGAGCGGTGATTACTTTACAACACACACAGGGACCATGGGGAACAAAAGTAGCCACCCTCCAGAAGGAAGGACAGTGTCATTATGAATTAAGAGATGATTTGGAGGATCTACAGCCGAGTGATACACAAGATACATTTTTGTTAATAGTTAAGGTACTTGAATGGATTATTAAGATTTAATGCCGGAGTTTAGTTTATTAGCTAAACCAAGTCTGGACTCATCCAATCATCCAATTTTTACATAGAAGCAACCATAGACATATAACTTATACTGCAGCTGCGCTGTAACGGGCAGCATGAAAGAAATCATTTTTTAAAAGATGAAGTAGTTACAGGAAGAGGAACCAAAAAAAAGAACAGATCATAATTTTCAGATTGGCCACCCTACAATATTGTTCTAACAGCGTTATACAAGATAAATAAGAAAAACATTACTCCTGGATTCAGCAATAGCCACATCACTAGAGTATGCACAGTCCATACACGTGACAGTTTATCCCTTCCCCCACTGCTACTGCCCATCCGTCTGAGATCAACTTGCTGCTTAAAGCACTGAGCATTAAGTCAGGATTTCTAACTTGGAATACAAGCCAGACTCTATTTAAGTGGCATTTATTATTTTAATGACAATTTCTCCATAAGGAGATTTGCTTATCTTCGCTCATTAACTCGCAGACCGTATTTAGGAATTAGCAAGTGAAAACACAAGGCCTGCTTTACTACTTATACAAAACGGGGATTATAATGGTTCATCTGCAATAGGGAATTCTGGGTAATGTCCTGTGCTAGGTCAAAAGAGCCATCTGCTTACCGGCAACCCTGTTAAAACACAAGGCGTGTTTTCAACTGTTAGATCTATAACAGAGGTCCACGGGGTGTATAGAGGAAGACCCACTGTTTTTTTTTCTATGAGTAGAGAGCTAGCCATGGACACAATTCACAGACAACTGGGGTGGAGGGGTCACATTCGTGTGCTTGGTCAAAGAAAATTAAGCTTTTTATTGTTTGCATGAGAACAACCAAATGCCCTGACCATGGATAGCATAAGGGTTTGAATATATCAGGGATCAAGTTTGGTCAATATCATGTGTTCACCAGACCATAAAGTTGAACTGAAGCCAAAACTTTTTTTGATTTTGGGTAGAGTAAGGGAGGGCTATAACCCCTGTGAGCTTTTATTTACCACATGTGTCCCGTTGGAGAGATTTCCCTTCACTTCCTGTCCGTTTGCCTGAAGAAGGAACCGTGCTGGTTCCGAAAATTTGCTGTAAAATGCTACACTATTTCTAGTCAATAAACAAGATTGTCTTGGCATTGCATTGGACTGCGAGTGGCTTACTGTTAGGAAGTGAGAGGAAATCCCTCCAAAGCGAAGAAATCCCCGGTGGTCAGCAGAGTCACCAGGATAAGCTTCCAGATTGGAAGACTTCACAAATGTTCCTGTGACCACTCAAAACTTTCACTGAAGCTCGTCGAAGGCAGGGACTGATGTGAATGTGCAGTATGTAAATCGCTGTGTAAATTGTTGGCCTAATATAAATATCAATAATAAATAAATTGAATAAAAATAACAGTTACCAGGATAAATTCAGAAGGTGATTCTCCCTAACGAGGAATAAAATTAAACCACGACAGGTGTCAGGTATTCTAATCCATGAAAATCGATAGAAAGTCACTCCTACCCCAACTTGATACTAAGTCAATCTCTTTATTGACTATAGTAGTGTCATATTTTAGAGCGACGTTTCGGAACCATGTGGTCCCTTCTTCAGGCACACAAAAAAAGTATTTCAGGCACATTTCAGGCCGTTCTTCAGGCACACCGTTCCGAAACATCGCTCTAAAATGTGACACTACTATAGTCAATAAAGAGATTGACTTAGTATCAAGCTGGAGTGCGAGTGACTTTCTATCGATTTCATGTAACTTGCAGAGGCATCTGCCGTCACTACAGCACCCACCTGACCTCAGGGTTTCTTTCCGGTCAGGAGTGCGATGGGACATGCTTTGTATTAGGTATTCTAATCCCTCTCCACTCTATCCAAAACTAAATAAAAGGTTTTGACTTCAGTTGCACTGTAAAGTATATCCAAGACCAAAACATTTTCCATTTTGAATAGAGTAGGGAATAGCTAAAAGCCCTGTCAGTTTTTTACTATTAAGAAACCCCTCCAATGTGATGGAATAGCCCTCTTACACAGTTGTCACTGTAATAAGCGTGCTCATTGGAAGATTTTTCATCTATTACTGTTCTAGTGGCAATTCAAAACTTTGGATTTTCCCCAGTTTCAGTCCTGGTGTTGGTGGTCACTAGGCTGAAGATAGAGTATCTCCATGACGGGGACACTGGCAACAATAAATCTGACAGGAGTCCTAACCCCTCACCACTCTATCCAAAACTAAAAAAAAAGGTTTTCGGCTTTAGATGTTCTCATGTGCAGCCTTCAGACAGCACTGCTGCTACGTAAATGCTGACACACGTTGATATAAATGAATAGAACAAGTGAAGAATAATACAATTGTAATACAAAGTGTTCATATTTTCTCCTGTTTTACCAATCTGCACACAATATACTTACTGCTCGTAGAGGACATGCGGCTGTAGTCTGACCTGCAAGGCAAGCAATGAAATCTATCAGAATGTATGGCTTTCACTGAATTATTCAGAGAATGCTAAAATCACACTCACACGTCAGAATTATATTTATCTTCAAGTGTTAAAATATTCATTTTGTATGTGAAAAGTTTTCTGCACACAATGGAAGTACAGAGGGAATTATTCTGTGATCTTATCTAATATTATCAGAAGAAAGAGTAGTCTATTGATACTTTCTTATCAACAATACTGGAGATACTGAATGCTGGTGGAGTCTAAAGTTGGCCATACACTGTGCGCAATTTGTCTACTTCCTGATGAATCGGATAAAATTAAAATAGTGGGTGGCCCTGTCGGTGTCCATCCATCTGGTATCCTTCGATCAGAAAATTAATTGGGCATACAGTGGATGTCGACACTGTTTGGGTATTCTGAATACGATAGCCCAACAGGAGATTCGTCCATCCACCCCGGTTATTGCAGATGGAGGTGCATGGACGAATCTCCTGTTTGATATATTTTTTCCGTTCAGCCTGCAGGTAACCGTGTATATCCAAAGTTTGTAGATTTTTGGCTAATAGCACCCAGCTGATTAGCTGCAGTCACTGCTCGGTTAAAACTTTTCAGTCCAGCTCCTACAGTGTGTTGCGCTGCCGGCTTCCCACAAGTCAGTTACTCAATCCATTTTATTGAACTGGTAGGGCCACATGCTGCAAAATTTCAGCCAATTCCAGTGAGATTCTAACAGTGTATGGTAATCTTCAGCCAATCAGCTCACACGTAAAAACCCAAACATCAGGTTGTGAAGTCCATTGAGTTGTAACGCGTGAGCCGATTAGCTAAGGATGATGTCTTTCATCTGGCCACGCTCAGCTACTCAAGCTCTCGCACACTGCATGCGAATGTCTGCGCCTCACAGCTTCACTTTGCTCTGCATGCCGTGTGTCATGGCCACAAGTTTACCTCGGTGTAGATGCGGACATCTTGGAAAACAGCAAGCAGCACAGTAGTGGCATCTCCAAATCTTACTCCAAATCTCAGGCGACTGGCAGTCACAGACACAGTGCCATAGATCTCATACTGCAGATACTCAGCTAAGAGGCTGTAAGCACAGGAGAGCTCTGCTACATTTCAGAAGGAATTTAGGATAAAAGGTATATTTTTCAGGGTAATGCTAAGGCAGAAATAAAATTCCCTTATATTCCCTATAACATAGCAAATCTTCACTTTTTGAGGTAAGGTGAGCATTTCCGATGTGTTTTTATGTTTTTCGTTGCGGTTTGGCAGTATTTTTAAAGGCACATTTTACCGCATTTAGAGAAGAACACTGGGCAGAATAAAAATGAACCCTTGCAGTGGTGCTGAGTTTTTTGACCTGCGACATTGACTTTTGTGTTTATATACTTAAGTGTCCCTGTGCTATGGTCTATGTAGGTATGACTACCGGCCCATTCAAGCGCAGATTCCAAAAACATAGAAGCGATATCTGCGTGGCCCTGACCAGAGCACTTAAAGGTGAGGACATTGACGCCAGTAAACCAGTGGCATTACATTTTGTCCAAAAAACACACCAAATCCATGAGCTCAGAGGGATGGTCATTTAACACCTGGCTAGGCATCCCCGAGGTGGTGACGGAACCCAACAACTCTTGCGACGCGAGAATTATTGGATATATAACCTTTGACATTGTCCATCCCAGAGGCCTCAACACCAACCTAGGTTTATCCTGCTTCCTTGACAGTAGATAACGTCCAGATTCTAACATGATGTGACCACATCCATCATAGTTACTCCATCGGTATTCCGTTTACTATTTCTCCTGAGAGACGTCTCTCTCTAAATTTCCCAGTGGGTCGATAAGGTATTATGCGACAGCCCTGGGATTTTACATATACTAGTTTCCCCTTTTTGTGTGTTTTGTTTGTTTTATTAAGCACCCCTGGTACTGTTCTCCCATCTCTCCTGTTCCACTGATGAGTGACACATCTCATATGTTTGCTATGAGTTGACCTTGTCTGGGCTAGTGACTTCTGTGTGTGTGTGTGTGTGTGTGTGTGTGTGTATATATATATCTATATATATCTATATATAGATATATATAGATATATATAGATATATACATAAATACACACACACACGCGCAATAGGGCCATAGCAATATTGCCCTTTATACGTTTTAGAGGAGACACTTTTCTTCCCATTATTATTATTATCATCATACAGGTCACTTTTATATGCACTATGAGTTTTTTTAATGTTTCTGGTGGTACAGAACATTGGGTGGTCATTGGGTCACGTATTAGACCCTTTGTATTTGTTAGACCTTTATATGCCCCCGATTTCGAACGGAGGCATTTGTGACAGTTTTCTTCCTATCTACGAATCATCTTCCTGATCATTGATAGTTATGTCCACACTAATGTGATTATTTGCTACTGCTTTGGTCATCATCAATTTTTTAACTGCCATCCATATGCTTCTTTTCATTAGTTTGGTTCAGTTGTACTTTGTTGTGTCATAATTGCCTCTAAATACTGTAGTACATGCTGTATCTATCAATGCCGGCCCCTCTTTAAAGGAGAACAATTGGGTCAGGGCTTTTCCCCATAGTTCTCCTAAAGGTCACGGGAGAACACAAACTAGCGTTCTCCCGTGACCCAAAGCTCAGTATACCTTGCGGTATACTGAGACGCCGGAGCCGGAACGAATCCCGACAATACTGTCTGGATCCACCCAGCTGCGTGAGTGACAGCTGGCTCTGCCTATCTAGAGGCAGAGGCAGCAGTGCCCGCCCCCTCCCCCGTCTGTTCCGCCAGTCAGCGCTGGAGAATCGGACAGGGGAGGGGGAATCCATGCAGGGAGCCGTGAGTGACAGTCACGGCTCTCTGCAGGGATAGATCCAGAAGTGAGCGAGCGACGGTATGTGTTCGTTCACTTCCCGATCTACTGAGCCGACCTGTGACAGTTTCATTGTCACAGGTCAGCTCAGATTATGAGGCTGAGTGAAAATCACTCGCCTCATAATTCTCCTTTAATGTGTCCTTTGCTCCGTGGTGTCACTGCGCTCACCAGCTGTCAGTTGCTTAGGAGTTGTGTCAGCAAATGGCGTCCAGGTTACCTGGGTTACAGACGCTACCCTGACCCACATCATGGCGGTGCGTTCCACTTGGCTGTACGGATGGACCACGCCAAGAGTGGCTACTAACCTACGCCGCGGCTCCTCCTTCGCCGTTTGTCGGCACAGGAGCTGCCAGCCTGACACTCCCATCGTCCGCATGACACATGCGCCTGCAGCATGGGATCAGCCTACAGGCTGGACTGAGCTTGCAGATAGCATCATGGTTACCATGACGATCGAGCAGCTGTTCTAAAAAAGTGAGCTGGTTATGTAACTGACACCCCGGTCACATGACATTATATCCGATGTGTGTATTTACTGTTTAATTCAGCACTATGACTATTTTGTGTATGATGTTGCCCATATTTCTTACTATTGGTAGTTTTCAAATGGTTATTTGACAGATTGCACACATTATTAGCAGGTTATGTAAGTCTGTGATGTCACATGAAGGGGCGGATCTGGGGGTTGTCTCACATCTGCATGCCCATTTAAAGCCACATTGTTTGTTAAGACACTTTGTTGATGTTTGAGCCTGATGAAGGGACCCTGCGTGGCCCCGAAAGCGCTTGTCTTCACTTTGACGGTTTATTCAATAAAATGAACATTTGGTGATCCTGAAAGGATTTTTTCGGTGTGCTGTTGACATGCTTCACGGCCAAATTGGGATAACACCTATTTTATATTTGCTACTTGTTTCCATCCACATAGTATAAGATTAAAAAATGCTTTTAAATTTATACTAATAAAATGTAATTTTAAATTGCTTTTACTTGAGTCAGGGTTTCCTAAAAGGTTAAGATTTCTACTTGTTTCTTCTTCTTTGTAATGTTGTGAGAGGTTAAAGAATTACAATCCTGGCTTCTACATTGTATGTTAATGAGATAAACACAATCCTCGAATTTCAGTCCTGTTTTATTTTTTTTGTTCAACCTGCAAGCCGAGTAAAAAAAAATATAACAAATTCCTCCATCTACATTGAACAGCATGGATGAGTGAAGGTCCCACTGAGAGCTTTGCATTCTGACAGTGGCACCAGCCGCTGTCCGAAAACCTGAATGGTGATGGCAGATGAAAAATGCAAGCACTGTTCGGCAAATAAATTTCATACAAGTTTTGTTGGCAAATGTTCGGTCTAATGATCGATTTCTGTCAAGGGGATAGGGTTACCAACGGAGCTAATTTCAGCTACATGTGTAATGGAGTGAGAGGGGATCATGTGTGTCTTTCTATAAGGACAGATCATGTGTAGGGATCCTGTGTGTCTTTCTATAAGGACAGATGATTGTGAAGGTGCTGAGAAAACCTGGAATTGCAACAAAACATCTAAAAAGGTAAAAAAATATATATTTTTCGGTATGCTGTGTGAATGGGAACACATAACAAACATATAGAGGGGTCTTCTGAAACTTGACTGCAAAAGTGGAAATGCACTTTAAGCCATGCAGAATACATACTTAAATAATTGACAATGTTTTACTTAGAAAATAAATGACATTAAAAACCAAGGCATGTATAAAAAACATGTCTGAAAGAACTGCCTGTGTTGCCAACAACAACCAATTAGACTGTCTGATGAAATATAATTCGAAAAAATGGAGAACCTGATTGCTATGGATGGAGCCGTTCTCCTTTTAGACACTTTTCTATATGAATTGCAATATCAGGAATTTTGTGCGTCTACCCCTTATTTTATTAAGTTACATCATTCATTCATTTTGAAGAGAAATATGTTTCTTCTGTTTCAATATAATCTATTAAATTTACAGAAGCAATAGACACTACACAAAGGATATACACTGAGTGGCCAGATTATTATGCACATCTGACGTTTGTAGGCAAATCGGCTATAATTAGCTATAATTTTGCGCTGAAGTTGCTAGAGGGCCAGACCAT